AAACAAAGCAAAACACTCCATTCCTTTCTAAACACAACACCTTTCCTTGGGTAAACAGACCCATGACATTTGGATTTAATTCTGTGATGAGAAACAGTGACCTTGTTCTTTTTCCTTTCTTTCTTCATTTGTATAGAAACCATTTCACAGGTGGAGGTCTTTTTAAAATTGAAAATCCTTATTCAATGGGAGGTAAAAAATCAGAGACAATAGCAAAACATAAAAGCAAACAAGTATGTGGGAAAAGTTAAATAATGTTTAATTGATGGACGGAACTGCTTGCAACGCTATCTCCTAGAAGTTCTTCTATACTATTAGCCAGATAAATTCATGCTTTCAGAAATTTAAACTAGGATGAAGATGCTTCCTTGAAACATGTCTGAACTCTCCTCATGACTCTCTAGAAGAACAGAAACCTCTTTGTGAAGAAGTTCAACATGAAGTGAAGCATGGTTGTTTACTTCTTTACCTGTGTTCTTGCCATGAACAGTATTAAATAGACCAAAAGCCAGTAATATCTTTCTGGAGATGCTTAATATTTGTAATAACCAAATTACTCTGACACTGAGATCCTCAATATATTACAGCAATGTAAAAGGAATTATTTTAAAATATACATGGTATGACCTGCTTTTTTTTTTTTTCTAAGAGCCTAGAATGAACATAAAGCTTAATATTCTTACTTTCAGTGTTTCTAAAATGCAGAAATTGGTAGCAAAACTTTATATTTCCAGCTGCAGAGGTTATGTAAAATAACTATCATATTTTCATATAGGTGTACACCGTTGTTTATAGCTTATACAAGGCCCCTCATTTCAGTATTGTGAAAATCTGAATGTATCTTCTTCTTTCTTTTCCATTCTGTTCTGCCAGTCTGGATTTTACTGTGATTTTATAGTCAGCTTTCACTGGAGTGGTTAACAGCAAACCTTGATGAACATATAGAGAATTAAATTTCAAACTTCATGTGGTTATTAGTGAGACACATTTCACACCAATATCTCACTTCAATAGTAAGAAATGCAATACAAATTTCAGTAGAAAAGCAGTTTTGATTTCAGTAGAAAGAAATGTGCTTAATAGAATTGCATCAATATTATAGAGGTGTGAGATCAGATTTTGTAGACTGAATGGAGTTGCCATAAATATGTATTTAATCCACACACTCTTCAATTTTTAGATACTTGCAAGAGATATCCAGGAAGAGACTGATCTGTATATGCATATATTAATGTGCACAAATACAAAAAAATCATAGAATCCTTTGGCCTGGAAAAGACCTTCAAACATCAAAAATACAACCATAAATCAAGCACTGCCATAATCATCACTAAACCATATCCCCACATGCCACATCCACAAACCTTTTGAACATTTCTTGGGATGGTGACTCCACTGCTTTCCCTGGGCAGTCTATTCCAATGCCTGACAACCATTTCAGTGAAATTCATTTCCCTAATATCCAATCTAAACCTCCTCTGTTGCAACTTCAGGCATTTCCTCCTATACTGTCACTTGTAGCCTGGGAGAGGAGAGCAATCCCAATTCAGCTGCACCCTCCTGTCAGGCAGCTGCAGAGAGTGATGAGGTCCCCCTGAGCCTCCTTTTCTCCAGGCTGAACACCCCCAGCTCCCTCAGCTGCTCCTCACAGCACTTGTGCTCCAGACCCTTCCCCAGCTCCGTTGCCCTTCCCTGGACACGCTCCAGCCCCTCCATGTCTTTCCTGCAGTGAGGGGCCCAGAGCTGAGCACAGGATTGGAGCTGTGGCCTCAGCAGTGCTGGGTACAGGGGGACGGTCACTGCCCTGCTCCTGCTGCCACACCAGTGCTGACCCAGGCCAGGATGCCATCGGCCTTCTTGGCCACCTGGGCACACCCTGGATCGTGTTCAGCTGCTCCTGATCAGCACACCTTTTTCACTGGGCAGCTTTCAAGCTCCTGTCCCCAGCCTGTAGCGCTGCCTGGGGTTGCTGTGACCCAAGGGCAGGACACAGAACTTGGCCTTGCTGAGCCTCATTCAGTTTGCATCAATGGAGCAATGATGGGAGGAAGCAAGAATAGAGTCGGAGACTACTTTTAAAGAACAAAAGGTTCTGGACTCAAATTTTAACATATGGAAACCTATGTAAATGCTGACAACTAGATTTTGGGGTTTCGGGTTTTTTTTTTTGTTTGTTTTGCTTGTTTGTTTGTTTGTCTGTTTTTTGGTTTTTGTTTTTGTTTTTGTTCAGAGAGTGGTTCCAGAGAGATTGAGCAGCCTCCATGCTAGGAGATATTAAACATCTGACTTGACATGGTAATGAGCAACCTTCTACTGATGGCCCTGCCTTGAGGAGGGGCATTTAAGTTCTTGAGGAGTCTTCCCACTTCATCTATTCCCTGATTGTGAGTTTCAGTTATGATAAAATACTGAGTTGCTTGACCTTGACAGTTGTAGATTATTAAGTGGCAAATTAAGAAAACATACCATTTAAATATCATTTATCACCTATCCCTGTTATCAGAATTAGTATTCAGCAACACTGCCTCTCTTAGCTCAATTTTGAGCCAGAGTTTGGTATGGGTACAAGGTTGGATAGGAGTGAAATTATTAGTGATTAATATTATACCATTTACATGGTGTGATCTGAGAATGCTGTGAAAGATAGGCAGAGATGACATCAAATTGTTCTTATCAGCCTCAGGGCTGTTCTAACTTAGGATAAAAATATAAAACCCAAGCTGTAAGCTGAAACAGATAGGTATCTGAAATAAATTATGATATAATCTACTGCTCTCTCTGCTGCAAGGTTACCCCAGTGCCTATAAACATTCCTCGGAGATCCACTCTGTCTGTGTTTAAAAGCCACCAAGCATTTCTAATTTAAGGATTTGTCAAAGCTATTCCTTACTCCTCACATCCTCCAAGAACAAGCCTTTAATCTTGTCAGAAGTTTATGACTAAATAAAAATTCTTAACTGAAAATTTTAAAAGATTTCTCTGTGGTGAGGTGCTTTAGCCCAGAGAACTGCTAACAGTCAGGGAATTTGGCCTTTAGTCTGAAAACAAAAGGAAAACTGTTATAAAACCTTTTTTCTTTTTCCTGTAACCCAACCACCACCAACAAGAAATCCTATTAAAATAAATCAAGTATTAAAACTGTAACTGAAAAATGTTATGCATCTGAATTTTCTGAGCACTATCAGATCAGTTTGATACCTGCAGCCTGCATAATTAGCATCAATAAAGCATCAAATGATATTTTGTATTTATGTGGTTATTTACATATATGGGATACTGAGCCAAACAGGATCTGAGAATGAAATGATATCTGGAGAACAGAACCAGTACAGGATACAGGATTCTAATCAGCTCCTATTAAAAACAGAACAGACCCTTTATTTCTTTTTTAGACATATCTACTGGTGACAAATCCAGCCTAGATGAATAAGGGACACACAGATCATGTTGCACACACCCACAGAGAGATCAAAACACTCTTGAAAGTCATGCAGTGACACTTAGGCGTAGCTTCTCCCCAACAATGGCTGTGGTGGTTGCCTGAAATTTTTGATGTGCCAAAAGGGAGTAAAGTAAAGGGGTTCACTTTTTGCTGAGTGGGTGCTCAGGGCTTTATCACAGATTCCTTTGAAGTGCTGAGCCCAGAAATAAGGAAAACCAACCTGTCTTGGAAATTTTACACCAGTACTGTATCTACTACACTGTATGTACCAGAGGTTTTTCTCCTGCTCCAAGGACAACCACAGGAGAGGCCATGTCCCTACCATTCACCTCTTACTCTCCAAGTCAAGGTGGGCACATGAATGGCAGGTGGCCTCTGCCAGATCCTGGTTCATGCCCAGCAATGACCAGGCTGACAATTTAGCAATATGGTGATTGTATTTCAGGGCCTGGGAACACTTCTCGACACAGTTTTCCCTAATATGGATGCAGTCTGTATATTCCTTTTAAGAGTAAAGCCTTATAATTTGATAACAAGTAAGTTACAAACACAGAACTACAATTCCCTCTCCCTCCTCAGAACACGCTTAAGGTATGGGGGGATGGAATCTATTATGTAAATAAATGGTAGATTGCACAGAATTGGAACTGTGATTTGGCAATTAATTTTAAAGTTACAAATAAGAATGCATGTGATTACCCAACTTGAAAATAGATGACAACATGAGAAATATAAAATTCTTAACTCCAGATCTGCTGTGAAAACTACAGTGACTGTCATCCTGAAGAATCCTAACAGACCTCCTACATCTATATTGCACATGAAGGGCAATTTTGTCAGGCCTTTGAGTGCATGGTTACCCCAGAGCACAACTGTGACTTCTCAATAGTGTTTCTTTATCATTATGGCTTTGTACTGCCAGCTAAACACCCCTTTGCTTTACCATTTGGTGGATGATTTGAACTAACAGAAGGAAACAAGAAACATAACCCAGAAATGTGTGCTTTGCTCAATTACAGACAAAGATGTTAAACCATAATAATGTTCCCTGCCAACATAATGAAAAACAGTGAAATGTTCACATCCTAAAAAAACCAGCTGCACATACAGGTGCCTGCACCAGATGCTTCCCTAAGCACAATGTGATAAAAGTGATTATTCCTCACTCAACAGAGAACAGTCCCTAAGCAGGGTATTTAAAAAAGGATGATAACACAGGTAATTAGGAGCCCCATGCTTTACATACAAAGCAATGATTAAGAGCATAATGCTTAGAAACCATCTGTCTTTACATGTGGACCTGTGTTTTTATTTGTGAATTTATCATAAAAAGGGCAGTTTTCAGCCTGATCTCTCAAGTGAGATCCTACCTGGAAATTGATTAAGAATTGAATGACACATCCCTACTTTTAACAGGTGGTACCTTGCCCTGTGACTCCAACAGGAACATGAGTGCCAGAATGCAATACCTGACTGATGGACTTTCCTATGAGGTGTGAAGGAATATCCTGTCCTTTTCCCAAAGTATGCGTAAGTATGTCCGAAAGTCTTTTCCTACCTTTGGACTTCCTGTCATGGTAGCTCCTGCCTCGATAATGTTGCCCACTGTCTGTGTACAGATTCTCAAGGTCTTCTTGCCAGGAGTCTGGGTTGAAGTGTTTGAGCAGATCCTCCACCGTATCAAAGGCGGCGATGGTCTGATCCAGGGCTTCCGCTGTGAGTGTAGGGTCAGTCACTGATGGAGAGGGATAGGATACCCCCTAAGAGTGACATACATCTCAGTGCACTTGGAATGAATTAAAGCACCACTTTAAACAACTGAAAATAGTTATTGACAAGCTTGTTTCATTATTGAGTGAAACAGTTACTTCGGGCCATCTTTTCAAGTCTTTTGGCCAGGACTTTCTTATACCTGTGTTTTCTTTTTGTAAGAAAACATACCAAGAAATTCCCATGTAAATCCAAGAGGATATGCAGGGAGCAAAAGTACTGCCACTGGTGGACTGTCAGTATTCGCATGCAGTCCTCAAAGAGAATAATGGTTTGCACATATACAAAGAAGCAATGAAACTGTCTTTTGATGGCCATGGCCACAGAAATGGAGATGCCAGTTCTGTTGCTTATTTCACACGAGGCAGATCAGAAACCACAGCAGAGAAGTCCATGAGACTATCTTTCTCTGGTCGATTTGGACAACAGTTTTGGCATGGTTAGAGACTTGGAAAAATGGCCCTTTATTACCCAAAATTAAATGTATTACAAAACAACGATGAATTGACATTGAACTGACATTTTACTAAAAATACAACTAAATAAACAAACAGAAAAAAACATGATATTTGGATCTTGGAGATGTCAGTGGGTGAGAGTCTGGACATGGCCTGGCAATGTGCTTGCAGCCAGGAAAGCCAACTGTGTCCTGGGCTGTGTGGGCAGCAAGGCCAGGGAGGGGATTCTGCCCCTCTGCTCTGCTCTGCTCAGACCCCACCTTCAGGGCTGCATCCAGCACAGGGAGGACATGGACCTGTTGGTGCAAGTGCAGAGGAAGGACACCAAGATGAACAGCAGGATAGAAAAAGGACTAAGAGAATTGGAATTGTTCAGCTTAGAGAAAAAAAGGCATCAGGGTGACCTAACTGAGGCCTGAAGGGTGCCTACAAGAGAGACAAAAAAACTTTTTATAAGAGCAGGTAGTGATGAGACAAGGTGGAACAGCTTTAAAATGAAAGAAGGCAGGTCTGGATTAGATTTGAGGAAGAAATTCTTTACTGTGAGGGTGGTGAGACACTGGAACAGGTTGCTGAAAGAGTCTGTGGATGCCCCACCCCTGACAGTGTTCACAGTCAGGCTGGAGAGGGATGTGAGCAGCCTGGTGCAATGAAAGTCATCCCTGCCCACTGCAAGGGGATTGAAACCAGGTGATCTCTAAGGAACCTTCCAAGACTAGATATTCTATAATTCTATGATCTCAGCAATGTAACAATGAATATTTGGATGACTAACATAGTAGTATCCTCTCAATTATATCATAACACCAAATGGAATATTTATTTTCCACCAGTAAGGACCAAGTACCATTTTATGAATGTTCCCACTGAACTTCTGGAATAATTTGACTTTGACAGATTGATTGCAGCATTTTTAGTTTTACTGGAGATGACTTGAAACATTGTTAAAATTCTTAATTTAGAATCACAATATTTACTATCCTGATATAATTTTTTCCCTTATCCAAGCACAAGGCTGAATAGTATGTAAAATATGTACAAGAAAAACTATTAATACAGATCTCTTCCTTTCCAAAGGACCACAATACATTTTTTCCAAAACCAGGCATATTATAGCACACAAATTGTTTGGTCTTGTAAGTTAAAATGTTGGGGAGAAACCCCTAGAAATCTAAATTATTTCATGAAAACTCAGCTCTGAAATAATGCAGCAGATATTTGCCAGTTAAAATTAATAGCTTCCCAAAATATTTGTTTTGCCTCATCTCCCTAGTAAATGTATATGTTAAACTATTAATCTTTGTGATTAACTTCACTCAGTTGGGTCATAATAGGAGGGTCAACTCATTTGAGTAAATTCACTCACTTGTTTGCAGGATTGTGTCTTTCAATTCCTCCTATAATGTACATATATGTCTTTTAAAATAAAACACTTGTCTTTAATGGTAAGCAATATCACAGAACTAACAACTCTACATTTTCCTGCACGTTTGCTGAAAATATGGACAGTGCAAATCATTAAAAATCAGGAAGAGAAGAAACAGCAAACATAACAATAGTGCAGTCAAGAAAGCATAGCTGCACTTTACAGCTTACCACCAACAGCCCAAGAAGTTTCAGTGGGCCCACTTGTGATTGCAGTGCCTTTCTAGTGCCTTTCTAAGACACAGTGCAGAGGCCTGTAAAAATGCATGACCCCTTAAAAAGGAAGGCACACCTTGAAGCCTCTCTCTTGACTTAGACATGGCTGGCAATAGAGAATGTCAGAGAGGTGGAAGTCCCAGCAGTGGAAAAGCTCACACCAGCAAAGTGAACAACACAGCACTGGTATCTAAAGCAGTGCTGCAGGAGAGACTGTGCTGCAGGCAGCGTCATGCAGTGTGCTAACACAGGGGCTGGGCTTACAAAAGGAAAAGGCACCTAAATGCTGCTTTCTTACTGGGGAGAGCTTGCCGGAGCTCATGGCAGTCCAGCAGGGAAAGAGAAGCCCCTGATTGCCTTTAAAAAGTGTGAGAGATGCTCCAAGGATGCTAAAGAAACAAGAGCATAAAAATCAGGCCACAAGTGTGTGGATTACTCAGTGCAAGAGTTTTTTCCCACATGTTCAACTGCACATTTCATTACAAAAGTGAAGGTCAAGCTCTGAATATGCAGGGCATTTCAAACTCATACAGGCAGCTGGGATTCCCCATTTTCTTCTCAAATAAAAGCTCCTACTCAAGAGATTTGTGCAACCTCGTTCAAACACAGAAGAAAGCTTAACTTTTTCTCAGTGATAGCCAAATCAAGAGGAATTATTTCAACAGCTGAGATAGCCTCCTGGCAGCAACATCATGTGACAGGCCCAAAAGCAACTTCAAAGCTGCCAACCCAACTGCCTTTCTTTTGTCCTGCCAAGAATGAGGCGCTGGCTTTGGGAGAGTTTGTGCTTGTCATAATCTGACTTCTGAGATCACATCCAAAGAGGGGGCAAGAGGAAACATAGAAGCAACGAGGAGTGAAGATCTTCCACATTATGTACCTCCTCTGCATTTCTGAAAAGCACTGAGTACATTTTTAATTTACTGGAACACAAAGGTATTTTTTTTTGGTATGTGCTCTTGCCCTTAATTTCTGTTCACTCATTCTTTTCACTTTCCTATCTCTGCTGTGAGCCTGACAGGCAATTCAGTGTGCATCACAGTTTTTTGTTGGTCATAAAATTACTTTACATATAATGGAAACTAACCTTATAAGGAGTTAGATTTTGTTTCCTTTTTTTTTTTTTCCTGGGTTTGCCATGATGGGTTAAGGGTAGAAGCTTTTTTTAAATTTTCTGAGAAAAAACCCAAACAAAAAACCAAGCCAAAATACAACTCTGTAATATGACCTCAGACATGGAAGAAAGAATTTGCTCACTCTAAAATTCTTATTCTGAGAGCTGTAATGTGTCTATATCCTAAAATGAGTCTTTGGGTTACTTGTGGGTTTGAGAGAAGAAACTCAGAACCTGTCATGCTATCTGAGCATCAGCAGAACTGTATGTCATCTTGTCCAAGACTGACTCACAGGTCTGAGTTTGTCCTTCTCCCTCTCAAGACCATAACAAAATCCCTGAATCTTTCTCTGCCAAAGAACTTGGATGTCCTCAGACACTTTCCTTGGTGCCTTTGTGAAAAATTGCTCAATCTCCCTGCCTTATTTTCTCTGAGGATTAAAAAGGACTTGTGGGTGCAATGTGCTGGAGAAAGTGTATTTTATTAGATAGGGAATGACACGGGAAAACCAATGAAAATGAGGTTCTGCTTCTGATTTAGCTGTAGGTTTCCATGTGACCTTGGGCATCAGCTTACTACCTGTAATATTTGTATTGAACTTCCTTAGTTACAACACATTAAAAACAATTTTTAAGGAAAAAAAAATAGAAGCAAAAAGATGAACTTGATTTTTCAATATGAAAAGGATACAGGGTTATTGTTTGGTCTATTGTGCATTTTATGACATTAAGGATGATAGCTAACATGGCGTTTACCATAGGCTTAGTCTCATTTACATAGGTACCTGATGAGGGAGCCCTAGGCTTACTTTTTCAAACATCAGCCTTCCATATTTTTAAACAAAATATTCCATCACATTGAGGTTTTTTCCCCATGTCCACATTAGAATGAAAAATGGATTTGTGTCTTTTAGTAAACCTGTTCTAGCATCTCCTGCTCGGCACATCCAGTAGATCTCAGCCCTGCTAGCATCACTCCTCAAGACTTTCAGCACAGTTGGTTCCAGGCAATCAGTGAATCGTATCATGAAGGGCAAGTGTCATTTGCAAATTCAAGAGCAAAACACAAGCAAGATTGGCTTAACATCTTCTAATTTTGGCAGCAGAGAGTTTTCTCTCTACTTGCTGTCTTGATTGGACCCTGATCAGTAGAATTAACCCATATTTTATTTACTGCTCCTTCACTAGCTACTCCTGACAGCGACTGTAACAAAGGTGCTGTCACTAAGCTCTCTTCTACGAATGCCTCAGACATTGTCTCAAGCCTGCTTTAAGCATTTACTCCCATCTCATGTGTTTTAAGAGGAGTTAACAAGAACCATGACGTGGTGTGTGGCAGGCAGCAAAACACAGAAGAGGACTGCCCATATTACGAATTCTCGTGCTACTGTGCCATTCCCCAGCACTGGGAAATGGCAGAGAGGGCAGATTTTTTGCCAACAACATAAATCAAATGTAATAAAGAGAAAATTATTTTTTTTTACTAGATTACTTGTTTTTTTTTCTTTCTTGATTTTTCTCCCAAGTTGCAGTTCACTGCTGAATATGGAGTAACTGTATCTGACTTCAGATATTATATTTTATTGGAAATACCAAAAAGAAAATTCTCAGTATTGACAATGAAATGCCAGATCCATTTTCCTGCCATCCTGCTTTATGTATGGTCTTCCATGTAAGTCAAGACACTAAATGATTAAAAATTTAGGTTTGTATCTGGTAGGATGAGTTTGAAAGCAAGAAATGTTTCCCAAATGTTTCCCAATGGCTGTCTCATGTGTTTACAACAGCAAAGGGCATATCCTTAATCTTTTATCCTTAAAAACATACTGTTTGAGTCCAGTATCAGTTGGATAAAAACTTTATTCAGCCTCTTTCAAAGGTGAACACATGATTTCTCTGTACAGAGGCCATTTTATTGAGCTGGATTCAAGCCACCCTATCAATCCATCGATGGGCAAAACAGTGAGAAATTACTTACTGAGACAGAGCTTGTGACTGACTCCCAGTTGGTTTCTGAGGCTGCGTGCTGGAAATCATCCTAAGGGGAGAAACACACAGGAAAAATCACCATTAAGGCAATACCCTAAATTAACTACAAAATCTAAAAAATGTTTCAGCGTTCAACATCTGTCACTCTTTCTAACCCTTTTTAATGCAAAAGTCCATCGCTATGTGTCACTCCTCAAGAAAGCTACTTCCATTCAGGTTGTCCCCTTTTCAATGTTTATAAACTCCTTGTGAGATTGCTTGGACAAGAATGGGTGAATATTATTATTGTCATTGTTATTATTATTATTATTATTATCATCATCATCAACCACAATAACAGTAATAATAGTACCAATCTGATATGTGCTGCTTTGCATAGCAGGACCTAATCTGGTCAAGGACATTAGATTCATCTGCCAACATAAATATTTAATAACATCTCTGTATGTCTACAACCAGATTATTAATGCAGTTGCCAAAAGGATCTGCTGGAAAAAATGTGAACATGCTAATTCCCTGGTACTACTTAGTCAAGGTGAAAAGCAGGATAATCTAATCCATCTCAAAAGTAGTCCTAACATGACTGTACTGCTTTTGGTACTTGTCCTGAACAGTACATAATCATCACTGCACTATGTTTTGTTACATCAAAAAACCCAGACACAGTACATTCCCATTAACAGTGTCATTGCACAGAATCTCTGGGCATTTATGATTAATTTGAGCACAGGGGTGGGATTAATATAATCTATCTTTGGACAACTATGAAGCCAACATCTAAGCTAGCTAGTCTTGTTTTCATTTACAATCAACTAAACCTGGCATTTCTGCGGTGCAAATCATCTGATCTGTTTTAGAAGCTTTACTTGGGATGACAGTGCACCCTGAAACTGCATTTTTGTCTCCACTGTCTCTATAAAGTGAACCTGGGAGGCTGATCTTAGAAACAGATGTCAAAACTGTATATATTGACATGTGGTCACCTAAATCCCAATCTATTTTGTCTGACCAGTGATGAGCAATGACTACTTAAATAATGAAGAAGCCATTTCTTTAATCTTTTGGCAGCTTTACTAATTGCCAACTGGAATAACTAAACTGTGAAAAATGGGAAAAAAAGGCAGCATTACAGAATGATTATTAAACACACACATGCAGCGAATAGCTAATGATCGGCATGAATATGCAGGTAAGGAAAGCGGACTGAAGCGACAGCACACCAAGGTTTTAATTTCTAATAACAGAATTCATAATGAAAAGGTTTAAGGAAGATGGATCAATGCCTTTGCTCACAATTTCATACTGACTCAGTATCTGATCAGCTTTTTTTTAAGCTGGCAACTGAAAGGGGAAATGGGAAGGAAACTGCACTCTCTCTATATATATATATCTATATATGCATATATTAAATTATTTCTTAGGAATGGAAAACAGAAAATTGATCGCATAATTTCCTAATTCTACAATAAAATGTTCCATTACTCAAGAAGGAACAGAGCTGCTTTCAGATCCAGAATCAATATACTGGGTTTTTTAATGTTTTTCATTTGCTATAGAAAAATATTTAAATGTGTCAGAAGTTACAAGATTTTTATTTAAAACTGTTACTGTTTCTTCTTCTTCAACATTTAAGATTAATAGAAATTAAGAAATTCCATCACTAAGTGACCACTGAAGCTGCAGAGCAATAAAAACATTAATATGTGGTCATTTTCTGCTAAGAATACAGAAGAAAAATGGTGAAATATTCAATGCAGATTTTTTTTCTTAAAAACAGTAAAGAGATCTGCAAACTATAATCAGATCATACACCATTCTGAATATGCCTCCCTTGGCGACATTCTCTACACATTTGGTTGTCCAGTTCTTGACAAGCAACAATTTAAATTAAATAAAAATGTGTTTGAAAAGCTCATGAATCCTCTGGTAAAGTCTGCCAGTTGCAGAACTTGGAAATAATTTCCTCTCTGTCATTAGCTTCCATTTAGCACTTCCAGGAAAAAAAGTGGCATTGAGTTCTAAAGCATTATTTTAAAACAGAAACAATTTGCTTCACTGAATGTTTTGAGAAGACTGTAGTCTTATGTTCAAAAGGGATGGACCACTTTTAAATGTGGATATCAAAACTGTTTCTTTAGTCTGTGATTCTTTGAATTGGTTCATGCCAGGAAACCCCTCCAAAATCCTGATATAGACATGTGTACCACCTGCTTCTTGGATCTCAAACCTGATGACTGCACATTTCAACTCTGATTATATTCAATCTGTCTAAACTATTCACATCTCTATGGCTTTGTTCCACCACCACTCAAGGCAGCTGCAGTCATTCTTGGCTTCTCGGCGCTTTCAACCTCTACAGTTTGGAGATTATTATTATCTATGGCTTCTGCTTGCAGCTATTTCAAATAATAATATCAAAGTGGTTCTCATCATTACAAAACCCTCTCCTCCTTCTCACCATTGCCCCTAGCAGAAGCTGAAGGACAAATCTATTTCCAGTGCTATCTGTTCAATTCATTCCACCTAGTTCATGTGAATTTGCCTGTGATCGCTTTGGCTGTTGTTTTGCTGTTGTTTCTTCATTACTTGAAACAACATTAAAACTTTTATCTTAAACATTAAAAAAAACCATCAAAATTCTCATATCTTTTCCTACTGAATCAGGGTGGTAATAATTTGGCTACATCACCTTGACAACAGTGCTGCTATTTTTGTATTTTTGTCATGGTAACATAAAAACTTTATTAGAGACTTCAGCAAAGCATTGAATTAACTGTTCTACAAGCAGCAAAAATACAGGCAAAACAACAGAACTACTAATCACCTTCTGATAGCAGCTACACTCAGTGAAGAAAAATTACTTCCGAACATCAACTTCCAAAATTACACCTCAGCAAGACAAATTCTGCATCAGTCCTCAGAGTTAAATATATATGGACACTGATATATTGTTCCTGGCTCTGTTTTAGACAAAGAAAAGCTACTCTCTGCTTTGCAGACGAACTTTATAGCCTGTCTCCCACCACTGATGGCCCCTAAGTGACAAGGAGTCACAGGGAATAATCCCTGTTTCAGCCAGGACTTTCCAAGTGGAGATCATGATGCAAAATCACAGCTATCAACAATATATGAGACTGCAGAGCCAGATAGCACTGGATCCTGAGGAAGATGATTTGCAGCCATGACCTGCAGCAGCACAGGCTCTGCTGCGTTGAAGCCATGGGGCTTGGCAGTGTCAGTAGGAACTGAGAGACACAAGGAAAACACCCGGGATGTGCCTGGGAAGCTCGCCAGTTTGAGAAGCATGTTGTCATGACTCACTTTGTTGTACCACCCATATGGTAAAACATGCGAGTCCTCCAAACTAGGCTGAGTTACTGCCTGGTCCTCAAATTAAAAGCAAGAAGCACTTCATTGCAAGAAGCATGATTCTTTGCCTTTTTAATGTATTTTTTTACTGTAGGTTAGTCTTTTGTCATCTTGGTGCCTCACTACTGTGAGGAAGGATGCCTGGGATAGGCAGTAACCACCACAGGAGGGGCACAGCACTTTGACAGTTCTCTCCAGTGCAAAGAAGCAGCCAGAATTCTCTATAAGCTTCTCTGTCAATTCTTTTCCTTAATCTGCTGGCTTTTGGGGTGACTGGACTAGATTTAGTAAAAAAAATTGTTCTTCTGACAAAACAACTACAAAATATTGCTCATGAAAGCTGAGGCAATGGTCTCTACTTCAGTGAGTGAGAAAGGTTTTCAAAGGAGTTGGGATTAAGAATTAGAGTCCAGGCAGTACCCCTGACTGATGATTTGGGTCCACTGGTTCAGAAAGGTCCTCTCCTAAAGGAGCCATCTTCTCTACTGTGCCCTTCTATGCAGAAGAGAAGTGAGGAGAAAAGGGTCAAAATGCAGGCATGCTCTTGGGGAAATAAGCATGAAAAAGAGGAAGAATGAAGTAAACTAAGAAGAGACAGAGAAGCTGAAGTGTTGAGCTCAGCCTGTGGTCACCCCATTTGTGGTATTTAGACCGTATTTATAATTATAAATAATCCAAAAGAAAAGCAGTTTCTAGAAATTTACAGAAGAACTGGACCAATGGATGTCCTGAGACACACAGAAGACCCTGCAAAAACAAATCCTGGGTGAAATGGAGCATGTTCAAAGAGGTCCAGTACAGAAACAAAAAGAAGTTGTGAGCTCTCCCTGGAATGAAAGAATTGGAGATGAAGGACAGTGGAAGGTCTGTAAGGAAAAGTAAGAGTAAATTGCAACTTGAAGAAAAAAGAGACAAAATTATCCTAACATTTAGATTAATAAATAGAAACTCAATGATATTCATTGTTGAACCAACAGTCAACATGTATCTATTGCATTCAGAGTTATGTGCAGACAGGTAGCTGATAAGCAGATAAACTTTCATTTGTATATAGTAACAACAAAATACAATAATCCGTAAATCTTTTTTTCCTGCCACAAGCAATAGTACCTATATTCTCACTAACAATTAGATTTACAGGTATTACATTTCCTATACAAAGTGACACATATTTCAAACAAATAAACTCCAAACTCAGAACATACTGTATAACAGAAATGGTGTTATATAAGTTAAAGGTAAAAGAAAAATCATAGTTCCATTCAAAAAAATGCTGTGATACACACTCAAGTTTGTACACCTCAACTGATTAAATTTAATTTCTCATGTAGCATTTTAGGACACTCCAATTTCTATAAATATAAGCATATAGATTTACACTTTGAAATATCTTTTTCTTGCACCATACTTTCACTTTGTCACATTGCTGGGTTTTAATTTAGTATCAGAATGATATTTATTAACACCTCCTAAGGATGCTGAAAGGTACCTATAGCAGGCTACTAGGAAGCCAGAGGCTGCATTTTTCTTACAGTAATGGTCAAAACCCCACTGCTCTGTTCAGGTCTAGTGACCAGACATTAATAAAAATAAAGTTACTGAATTTGGAGACTGAGCAACAATGATGGTTCATAGTCTGGGAATCATGCCTTGCTATGAAACATTAAGTGCAGGCCAGTG